ATTTAAGTTGGAGGATCTTCCCAGAATGTTTCGATCTTATAATACTCTGAAACTGGTGTTACTGGATAAGCTGCAATTTATTTTTATGGAGCTCTTTTGAAACTACATAGAAGTATTTGCACTTGATGACCCTGGAGGTCTTTTTCAGCTATAAGCCTATTGCAATGTTAGATGACCAAATGTCCCATGAAATAATGCTTCTTATTAACTGGGGGTGTATAATAAAACCAACTCCTTTCTTTACCTCTCCAAGGAGTACCTATGAGCTATCCTTCTGTTTAGTTGCAACTTCCTTCTTCTGGTTTATAGTGAGAATATAAAGAATGATTTAATTATACTTCTTGTTGGGCATTACACAGGGCTTTAGCGTTTAGAGTATTAACAATTAAATCATAGATGAGCTAAACACTGTGTAATTCTTAGCACTGTGTGCCATCTTTTCTGCCAGCTCATCACTGTCACTGCAGAAGTGGAGGGGCGTGGGGCACATAGGACTAAAGGCCATTTTGTATTTGTCTTTATTTCATTGATTTTATGACCAAAGAATTCATCATCCAGTAGCCCAGCCTCAGCAGCCTTGGCTGGTCCTTGGAAAGCAGATGCAGTCTACTATCAGGACCTTAGTCAAAGCCTTTTCCAGCAATGTAGAACGTGTCAGAGCTTCCATGCTGCAGAGAATTGATGAAGTGTAGGACTTTGGAGAGGGAATTTTCCATAAAATGGGAGAAAAATGGCAGGGTAGCAAAGAGAGGCTTTTGAACCTTAACAGTTTTTATGCATTTTCCTACTTTTCCATCAGCCTAGGCTTAAAAACTTACTAAAAGATTTCCCTGTTCTAGCTCTTTATGGTTTGCTAAGCACCATCCTCAGACCAAACCTTTGTTTTAAGGAGTGCCAATGATCTGGTCTCCTTTTTACATATGAGGATACTGAAACTTTGGTTAAGAGACTTGCCCCAAATCACCCAGATAATAAGTGTCAGAAGTGGATTTGACCTAGGCCTCTTCACTCCAAGTCGCCGTGCTGTGTATCATAATGAAAAGCTCCTCTGCTGCTTTGCCTTTCTCCCTTGTAAAATTGCCATAAAAGGTAGCTTTCAGAACTCGGCATGGTATAGTGAATTCAGGGCTAAACTGGGAGTCAGGGAAGTTTTCGTTTGAATCTCCCCTCTGATATTCAGTCGTGTTGTGAGCTGTAGTGTAGTGCCTAGTAACCTGGTTCCCTGTCCGTAAAATAGGGCCAGTCTCCTTAGTAGTGATCTCACAGGCTGTCATATGGTTGTTTCAGATGAATTGATGTATTTCAAACATTTTTCAGCCTTGAAAGTACTATATAAATGCTAGCTCTTACCTTTCACTTCAATCTCCTCTTCTGCAAAATGGGATAATGATAGGCTAACTGTTTCAGTCTGTCAGTCAGCAAGCATATCTTCAGTGCCCTTAGGTGCCAGTCACTGTGCTAAAGAATAGAGATGCCCTTAAAAAGTGGGTATGGTGTTGAGGAAACCATCAGGTACATAGATAAGTATGTGCCAAATAAATCCAGGCAGGCTGATTGTGTGGGAAAGGTGCCAACAGCTGAGGGAATAATCAAAGGCTTTGTGTAGACGGAGGGGCTGGCATCGACTCTTCCAAAGGTGCAAGTCTATTCCAAGTGCATGGAAATGTACGGCTGGGCAGTGGAGGGCTGTGTATGAGGAGCAGTAAGAAGCCCACTTTGGCCGTACTGTAGAGTATGGGCAGGGAATTTCTGGGTATTGAGGGTTCAAAGTTAGGGTTGAACCAGGTTGTGAAGGGCTTGAAATGACCACCACAGAGTTCAGTCATGATGACTGTAGCTAGCATTTATATAGCTTTTTAAAATTTACAAAGTACTTTACATGTGTTAATTCATACACTCTTTACAACCCTATGAAATTGGTGCTATTATTATCCTAGTTTACAGATGAGGAAAATGAGTCTGAGAGAAGTGACGTGACTTGCTTTGGGTCACACAGTTAGTGTGAGGCAGAATTTGAACTCAGCTTTTCCTGAAGCCCTGTCTAGAATGCCATGCACTAAGCCATTGATCCTAGAGGCAGGAGAAAGCCATTGGAGTTGATTGATTTAGAAAGCTTCAAAGTCCAATGCTTAAGGAAATCCCTTTGGGATCTGTGGGGACTATGGATTGGAGTGAGGAGAGACTGGAGGCAAGGAGATCATTTTGGTGGCTATTAGAGTAATCTAGACAAGACATGATATGGGACTCGACTAAGGAGGGTGGCGGGCAGGGGAAGGGCAATGTGGGAGTGAAGAGAAGGACATGGTTGAGAGAGATGTTATAGAGCTTGAAATGACAAGATTTGGCAACTACTTGGCTATTGGGTGAGAGTGAGTGAGGAATAGTAGGGGCATGCCACCAAAACTGTGGCACTGGATCACTAGGGGGATGGCAGAGCCCTCTCCTCTAATATGGAAATTTGGGTTTAGGGGGAAAGAATGAGTTCTGTTTGGTACATGTTGAATTTGAGATGTGGGATATCCAGTTTCAAATACTGGACTGAAGTTTAGAAGACAGACTAGGCTGGATTTATGGATCTGGGAGTTCTCTACATCGAGGTAATTGAATGCATAGGAGCTGAGGAGGAAGCTTAGCACAATGTCTGCCTAGTACATAGTAGGGGCTATACGTTCTCTTCCCTGTCCCTTTCCTTCCCCCACCCCCACCAGTTGGGAGATTATTGAGACCAGAGGACTGAGCCCCAGCTTCAGCCATGGTGTGGGGAGGTGGGATTATAGTGATGATGCCAACAAAGGAGGCTGAGAAGGGGCCTTCTGACTGGAGAAGAATCACAGTGTCAATCAACATTTATTAAAGTTTTATTAAATCTCCTACACTGTTCTAAGACTGGGAATACAAAGAAAGACAAAATACAGTGCACATTCTCTGGGAGCTCACAGTCTACTGGGGAAAACAACTTTCAAACAATCATGAACAAGCCAAATATATAAAGGAGAAATCAAGGATAGTCTCAGAGGGCAGGCTCAGATTAAGGAGGACTCAGAATTGGGAGCTATTAGCTTATGTGCACAAAAATTCACTTCTGTGAATGCATCTCTCTCTCTTTCTCTCTCTCTCTCTCTCTCTCTCTCTCTCTCTCTCTCTCTCTCTCTCTCTCTGTATATATATATATGTATATGTGTGTGTGTATATTCACATACACATACATACACACATGCATATATACATATGTATGTATGTATGAAAAATGTAATTTCTCCTCTAACTTTAGGAAGGTTGAAAGTCACTTGGCTGATTTTTTTCAAACCTCCCTTTGTTGCTGTTGAAGATATGTGTATTTCTGAGTGCATCTCACTACTAAGCAGACAGTGGGTGAAGTCCTCAGTCCTTTCATAGCATCCCATGTCCTTATCCAGCCCAGGGCCTAAGCCAGTTTCAGGCACACTTTGTATACTGTAGAATTGCCTGATGTGGGGATGTCTTCCCTGTGACCCAAGTGACATAAGTAACCATTCAATTTCTTCAGTGTGCAGTCAAGCAGCTGAGAAGAATGGACCCCTTGAATAATTAGCTCAATGTACAGAACACCTGACTGAAAGAAATTGATTTAATTTTGAAGTCAGAGAGTTTGTTTTCCTCCCTACCAAACATCTTTTAAATAAAGCCAGCAATGATTGCTGAGCCATTAGGAATGCTTTGACAAGACAAAACTCCCTCAGACTTCTCCAATACAGAATCATTTCCAAGCTTGTCAGATCTGTGCAAATGAAACTAAATCAGATGCTGCTATTGGAACTGACAGATTAATACAAAAAATAATTTGTCTCTGGTGTTGGTGTTTGATTTTCAGTGTCTTGAACTTCCATGTCTATTTCACATGATTTCTCCCCTGAGTTATGAAGGTGTTCATGTCAGAGTAAAGAATTCATATCCAAAGAGTTGGTTGCAATAGTGGGATGTGTGTGTTGGAGGAGGTGGGGAGGGGTTGGTGGCTGACAGCCTCTCGAATTTTCCATTCCAATGCTTGTATGTGTTTCAGAATAAGCCAAACATTTCTCCTTAACTAAAAGAAAGCATTATAATGTTACTTTGCTTTGCTTTCTTTTTCTTAGCATGGCAGTTTCTCTGGGTCCTGATTTAGAGGCCAAATTGCCCACCTTTTATGCCACTCACCCTGTCCAGTTAGTGGAAACCCCCAAATGCTGAAATTGACATATAACTGATAGTCATGTGGTAAGAACAGGCGATTTGGAGAGAGGACTGATTAAGGGGAAACCTTCCCAGGAAAGCTGGACATGGGGTATTTTGCTGCAGTTTGAATGCAGTTCTTGAAATGTTTCATTTTCAAAGAAGAGAAGAAAAGTGCTAAATCACATTAGCAATAATTAAAAGGAATTAATTATTGTGTTTGAGGTTATACCAAAGCAGTGTGTGTATCTGTGTCTGTCTGTCTATCTTACTGTCAGTTACTGCAAGTTCTCTCTGCATCAAGGCAGCCCATTTATTCAATATTTGCAGGTATTGAAGATACTAAAAAAAGATAGAAACTTTGAAAGCTTTTGGTTTTCAATAAAAGAAAAATATTTGATATTTGATATGATTGAACATTAAATCATTTATATAGCCAAGTACATGCATTAATAAGATCTGTTTGAACTGTAGTTTCTCTTTAATCTTCAAATTAGATTTTAAAGAATGAAATATTAGAATTCCCATCAATAAATTTAAATAGAAATGAATTCATTTGGACTAATGGCTGAATAAAAAGGTAACATTCTCCCATTAAACGTGTTGATTAGGTGTAGTATAGTATACATTTTTACTTATTTCATGAAGAGTAGAATTGTTATGAGGAGTAATGCAGAAAAATGACTATTTAATGGGATTCTTGTCTACCTTTTTTTAAAAAGGCCAGTTGGTTTTCTTTGGGTTGTCCTGGTTGTCATCATAGTTGAACAGCTGATGGGAATGTGCTTGTAACTCTGCGTCTTCTTCTGCAGTTTCAGCTCAGACTCTGAAGAGCAACCTTGATGCCATGGAACAACAGATTGCTCGCCTGGAAAGTGATATTACCAAATTCCCTAAGACAGAAGACAAACAGGACAAGTTTGTGGAAAAGATGACCATATCCTTTCTTTATCTTGGTGGGAGGAGGAATGGGGTCAGTTCTAGACTTTATGGGCTTATTCAAGTGTCTTCATACTTTTGTTTTCACCCTGGCTTTTAGTAGCAGCAGAAATGGCCTTTTTAGCATTTGTTTTTATTGAAGGGTTTGAATCATTCGTAGGGTGGCAGTGCTGCCAGTTTGCCTCATCTCAAGCACTTTTCTGTGGTCCTCAGTCTATTTTTTTAGGTAGAAAGTTCTTCTACTGAAGTTGTATACTGAAAGAAGAGAGTAATAACGACATTGTTAGAAACCCAAAAGGTATGTATTGAGAGGTTTCAATCAACAAGTATTGATTAAGCAAGTGCCGGGCCCTTGGGATACAAGTGTAAAGACTGAAACAATCTCTATACCCATTGAGCTTCTGTTCAAGTGGAAGAGACAGCAAATGACTTTAAAAATATCTACAGTGTGAAAAGAAAGCAGTACATACAGATACATACAGCCTTGTTAAATTTAAAGCAATTTGAAAGGCAAGCAAAAGCAGCTGGAGGAAATCAGGAAAGTTTTCCTGCAGAAGATGGTGGCTGAGCTGTTTCATAAAAGAAGGGCCAAGGAGGGAGTGCATTCCAGGCACTGGGAATGCAAAAGCAGAGAGATGTGAGATAGAGTGTTCTGTGTGAGGAAAAGAGAAAAGGTCAGGATCCCAAGTGTAGGAGGGGGGAGTAATGTCCAAAAAGCTTGGAAAGGTTGGTTAAGGGCCAGGTGGTGGAGGGCCTTAGAACCTAAATTTTGTCCTAGAGGCAGTAAGAAGCCACTGGAGCTGATTGAGTAGGGGAGTCACATGAGCAGGTCTATGCTTAAGGAAAATTACTTTGGTTGTGTCGTGTAGAGAAACCCCAGTGGGGAGAGACGAGGCCAGAAGACCAATTAGGAGACTGTTGCAATAATCTAGGTGAGAAATGATGAAAGAGTGAACTAAAGTTGTAGCCATGTAAGTGGATAGAAGGGGTCAGATGCAAGAGATGTTGAAAAGTAGAAGCAGCAAGATTTAGCAAATGATTTATGTGTATGGGATATCCCAAAAGAGCCATGGATTTCTGTGTGTCTCTGTATATAGTGAAGTTCTATAAGATTGGTCATCAGACTGAAAATTTATATATACATATGTATCTGTATGTGTGTGTGTGTGTGTGTGTGTATGTATGTATGTGCTTGCTTACATATTAATAGTATTGCATGGTCATTTGGAGATCAGTATACATATATAGAAAACAGAAGCAGAGCTTGAGAAATTGCATTTGTTCAGCAAGAGGTTCTTTATGTTATAAAGTCTGGCTTCTGTAGAAAAGCCGAAGTCTTAGAACTGCTTCCTTCTCACTCTCACCCTTTCTTCCCAGCCTTTCTTCTGGCCTGGTTTGCAAAAATGGTAAAACCATATCCAGCTCCTTTGGGTATGAATAAATATACTTTATTGTAGATTGATTTCACCATTTTCTGTTTCAAGAAGGAATAAATACTCTGTATTCTTTATCTGATAATAAGTAAATTATTTTAAGAAGTTCATGGCAGTCACCTTCTTTCAAGTTTAAAGCTGTTGCTCCTTTCTCTGTGTCAATCCCCCCCCCTTTTTTTTCAACCTAAGATCAGTGATACTGAGCTGCAATTACTACAGAGTGACAGACTAATGATGACTGGAGAATGTAGGGAAGTTACTTCTGTTTTTGTTTCTCATTTAGTGACTTAAGTTGGTGAGTTACTATTTATATGCCCAGTATGTTTTAAGGAATGCTAAGTATTAGGTAATTTTGGTGGCTTTTTCAGGAAAGTGAAAGGCAAATAGTACATGGGATGTTTTATATATTATGGGAATTGCCAATTTTGAGTACCCCTTTGTCATAGGATGCCCACCCATTATGAAGTTCATATTTGTTTGATGGCTGATTCAATCCTCTTTCATTGATGTCATTGTTCGATGGTAGCCAACAGTTCCTACTTTGTCCTCTTTTTGATTCTGTTGCTTTCTTCGTGTCTTTGAATTCTGATCCCCTCATTCTGTTAACATTTTTATACAGTTGGCCTGTAGCCACACAACAGCTTGCAATACTGAGAAGCTCTTGTTGCTCGTTTAGTAAAAGAAAAGTAATTTCAAACCCATATGAACTTGGCCTGGGCTGCTTATTTTATTTCTTACTTTATATGCAGATAATTAAGGCATTTAAAAATGAAAATCCAGTGCCTTCTCTATCTGCAAGTTACAGATGAATGGTTAGTCTTCATTTGAGTGGCGCTAAAGTGTGACTGTTTGTCCACAAGGGGATTGGAAACTGTATTAAAATGTATGGGACTGTTACTTTGCGTGGCATAATCAAAAAAGACAAAACATGCAGCAATTTATTACACAGAAATAGTTGGTGTATTGAGGTGAGTGAATTGTTTGCTAAAATAGAAATTATTGAATCAGGCTGGTACAACTGTGCCCACCCTCCAAAAATGTATTCTTACCTTGAAAAACCCTTGGGCAGCTAGTATGAGAAGAAATAAGCACCCAAGTAAGCCAGCCTCTTGTCTGTCTGTCTACATTGAATGGTTCGGACACCTACTCAGTAGTGATTTATTAGGTGCAGAATTTGACAGGTTTATACTGCTTGAACCTGTCTTAAAATTAAGGCTGTGATTCTGTCACTTGTTGCAGTTTTCTCTGAATCATAGGTTGAGAAATGGAAGGGTCTTGAGAGACCATCTATTTCAATCCCCTCATTTAGAGAAAAGGAAATTAAGGCCCAGAGAGATGAAATGATCTTAGACAGTGAGTGGTCAAGCCAAATTTGAACCCAGGGCACCGCACTCCAAATGCAGTATACTTTCTGCTGGCTTCCTAAGCCATCTGCCCCAATGGGTCATTTTATCTTGAGTCTTTGACTAGTGAAATTAGGTAAGTCCAGGTACCATTATGCCTCAAGGAGGTTTACTTACTGTAAGAATATAAACTACTGGAGACCTACTCATGTTTGTAATTAGTTAGGTGCCATATATGGGTACCATAGCCTATCACGATACACTGTCGTCTGGAAAACAAATGTCTTATCTGCTCAAGGGCAGAAGGACTCTCCATGCAACACATCTCTGAGCCTCAGAACTATGTCATTTTCTTTTCCCCACCACTTAATAGCATTTTTAATTACATGTAAAATAGTTTTCAGCATTCACTTTTATAAGATTTTGAGTTCCAAAATTTTTCCCTCCCTTCCCTCCTCCCCGAGACAGCAAGCAATCTCATATAGGTTGTTCATGTACAATCATATTAATCATATTTCCACATTAGTTATGTTGTGAAAAAAAGAATCAGAACAAAGGGAAAAACCATGAGAAAGAGAAAACAGAAAAGGAGAGAAAATAGTATTCAGACCCTATAGTTCTTTCTCTGTACGTGGATAGCATTTTTCATCATGAGTCTTTTGGAATTGTCTTAGATCCTTGTATTGCTGAGAAGGGATAGGTTTATCAATATTAGTCATCACACAACGTGGCTGTTATTGTGTACAAGGTTCTCCTGGTTCTGCTCACTTCAGCCAGCATCAGTGCATACAAGTCTTTCCAGGTTTTTCTGAAGTCAGCCTGTTCATCATTTCTTATAGCACAATAGTATTCCATTACATTCATATACCACAACTTGTTCAGCTATTCCCCAATTGATAGGCATCCCCTCAGTTTCCAATTCTTTGCCACCACAGAAAGAGCTGCTGTAAATATTTTTGTACATATGGGTCTTCTTCCCATTTGTTTGATCTCTTTGGGTTATAGCCTAGTAGTGGCATTGCCGGGTCAAAGGGTATGCACAGTTTTACAGCCCTTTGTGCATAAGAACTGTGTCATTTTCAAACAGGAAAGAGTCTTAGAGAATTTTACAGCCTCCTCATATAGCTGAGAACACATCCCTAAGACGGTCTCCTAAGTTAATGTCAAGTTGTGCTCATCTCTGCAAATCTATGCTTTTTTACAGCATAGATATGACATACCTATTGGGTAAAATAAGTCAGAATTCAGTATTGTCACAGTAAACCTTTCAGTGTTCAAAATGATTACTTTGGTCCTAGTGGCACTGCTTTAGAATACGGGTGTAAAAGGATGATTTCAGTAATGCACAGAATTTTCAGTTATAATTCAATTATGCATAAAACATAGGTTGCTAGGTCTTCTTTACTCCCTGAGACTAGCAGAAATTGTGTGCATGTATGTGTTCTGTGTATATACATACAGTCTGTGTGTTTGTGTGTATGTTTGGGCCTTGATGCAAATATAAGAGGTTTCTGATTGTATCCAATTTAGAAAATGTGAAAAATAGGATCTATTTGAGTTAGGTGGAAAGGGGAGCATTTGTGATAAGAACAGCTTGCTAATTGTTTGGGCCATTTTCTCACTGACTTGAATTCAGTTAGTATTCCTATCTTCAGTCCTTGTAATTTTTGGCTTCTTAATTAGAAGTGCCTAATTGAGTAGTGTGACTGTGAATATGACTTCCTCCTTTAATCTCATCCAGTCCCTTTGTGCCTCTTGCTTCTCCTGATATGATGGAGGACCATTTTCCTAAGCAGCATTCCTGGAATAGGCTTTTCATATGCCTTGACGTGCATTCTTTACATCATAAACTGCCTCACAACTCCATTAACCTTATTGCTTCAATTTTGTTAGCAAACATTTTACCATGTCTACTCTGGTTTTTTGTCTGTTGTCAGAAATCAGCTTAGCTTTTTGATTGACTGAGGACTAACTCATTTCCCTGAAATAGAGAATAGGGAGTGGCTGAGCATAGCAGTCCTGTTAACACATTGACAGGAAATAGTGACAGAATGTTAATGACATTAACACCCTGTCAAGCAAGGATCAACACCTGAAGTTCCCTTGTCCGTGGGGGGAAAAGGAGTAAGGAAGAAGTAATTATCAATTATATTTATGAGAGGAATCTTTTCTAAGCAATTCAAAAAAGATTGAGGGCTTCTGCTGCAGTTCAATTGTATATT